TTCTGTTGAGTGCCCTGTCATCTGGGGTTCAGTGCAATGATGCAGGTGCTGTCCCCGTCAGAGGACACACACTCCCACTTGCATCTACAACTCAAGCTGCTGCCACTCATCCTCATGGCTCCGAAGGTCGGCAGTTCTGTCCTGCCCGCTCGAGGAGATGGGGCCCTCTCCCAGCAGCTCCGGGAGGAGCTGGCTGTCCCAGGGTCTGCTAGGGCACCCGACAGGGGTGCAGAAACCAGAGTTTCTCACTGCCTCTTGGGAGATTTGCTTTGTGAAACATCCTGAACAAGGTGTAGGTGTTCTTACTTGGAAGAAGACAGACTTGGAACAGCTCATCTCGCTGATGGCTGCCTGAGATCTTTGGTACTGCCCTAAAGCTCAACGAGCACTAGTTTTCAGGGGGGAGTCATGGTATCCTGTGAGCAGCTACCCTGCGTACCCAGAAGCTGTAGCTCCTGGTGGATGCAGCTTCCTCCGCTGTGCCAGCCACCGCTCCAGACATGAGGCTTCTCCCAAGCTTGTTCATCAAGTGGTTTTGATGAAGAGCTCTCAGAGCTGTTCAGCTTCAAAAAATGTTTGAAATTCAAGCTGTGCTGCTTGTTTGTGATTGGCCTGAGAAGTTAGAGGGTTTCTAAGAGTCACTTGGGGCTGTGATTGCAATGAGCACTTCTCACCTGAAAGCTTGCAGGTGGGGAGGAAAAGTTTTATTCCCCACAAACAGGACTGGGAGAGGTTTGAGTAGCAGGGATTGCGTACCTAAGGGAAAGCTGTGGAAGAGGAAGAAAACAAGACTTTGCTTCATAATTTGACTCTCACCTGGTTGCGCAAATAAACATTTCGTTTAAATTAGCTCCAGACTTGACTGCAAGTGTATTAGGGGCCCTTCAAATGTTTAAGGACTTTCTTTAAAGTGCTCCTTAATCAAATGCTCTTATTGTTGTATTGTGAGTGGGTTGCTTATATATATTGGTTCCCCCTTTTCCCACCCGCCAGCGCTGCTGCCTGAGGAGCAGTTGAATGGGAAAATTCTTGAAGGCTCTGATTTTTAGGAGTTTTGTCATCTCCACTGGTTAGAGCTGCCTTTTTCTATCTCTTCCAGCTTTTTTCAAATCCTGCTGTAACTTGGCACAGCTGGACCCAAGCCAGGGTGTAGATGTTATCTTCTCAGAAGCTCTGGGCCATTTGGCCATCCGTGGCCTGACCAAGAGGGCTGGCCACCTCATCACTAAGCAAAGCCTCGCTGTGTTGGCTGTGCTGCGCTGTCCCTGCTTAAGTAGCAGAAGTTACTTAAGGTGCAAATATTGCTCAGAGTAGTAAGGCAGCCATGTGTAAATCTGATAGTAAAGCTGACTGTTCTCTTGCCAGTAGCTAACTGCATGGCTGAGGGCCACTTCTTGTCTCTACTTCATTTCCCCAGCTGTAAAAATAATCTAATGGGAAAACTTCAGGCTCAAGTCTCACAGGAGAGCATTTTCCTGTTGCTTTCCTGAATGCTTTGTGCTTTTCGTGTTTTCCTCTAGGGTGCAGAGAGCACTCAGCCTGTTACGGGTGCCTGGTGCAGTGATGTGCCAACAGCTATCACAGAAGAAAGGGTTCGGGGAGCTTTTCTAAGCTGCGATGCTGTGGGGTGAGTCCAGATTCTGTTCCTGGCTGTGCCACAAGATGTTTTTCTGCCTTGGAGTGTATTAAAACGACTTTGGGTTTCAGTGTCCCCATCTGGCTGGAGTACTAAAAGCATCTGTGTTACAGAGCATGTGGAAATGTTTAGGAGGACCATGCGCTGGCTCTGAAAAATGGACTTGTGATGTGGCACTTGACTCCCAGTGTGAACGGGAGAGGTGGTACCCAAGCGCCTGATAGAGGTGCTGGGTTTGCGTGGGCAGGGCTGCCACCCGTGGTGTACCACTGGTATGTCCCAGTTACTGCTCCTCGTTATGGACAATGTGTGTAGTCAGAATTGAGGTACTCCTCACCTGCCTGGGAAGGAGCAGCTGACACTCAGGTGGGCAGAAGACCTGTGGCTGTTTTGGTAGGAGGGTGTAAGCACCTGGCTTAGAGATGTCACTTGTTTCAGGGGTCAGGGAGTTGCGAGACTGAAGGCAGCCAGAGTCTCGGTGAACACTTTGAGTCATCAGTAAACACGGGATCAGGTCCTTTCCAGGCATGTATGGAGATGTATGGGGTTGGTGTCGCTCTGTAATGGTGCTGTTGCATGATGCACATTAAAATGGAGGGAAAAAAAAAAATGCTGAATTGATGCTTTCCTGTGTCTTCCAGCTGGTGCTTTCCCTGCTACTCCATCCTTTGCTCCCTTAGCTTGTGGACTGCACCAGTGATGACCCAGTTAAGCCTGTTTGAGAGCCAGTGGGGCATTTTTAGCGGGTGGGTGAGGGTGTGAAGGATATGTCACCATTTCTTTGGTGGCAGGAGATTGAGGCTCTTGGTGGTCGGTCATTCAGAGGGTGACTTCTAGCATCATCCATCTTTTCTCCTGCAGGGGCACTCTGTCCACATCTGTGTATGAGAAGAGGTGGAGGCAAAATATATTTGAGTTATGCAGCACTGCTGTCAGTACAAGGCTAGGTGAAGTCTCTTTCAAATTTAAAAATACTCCTTCAGCAAAGAGTGGATGATTTAGGGAAAAGCTCTATATTCGGGTATGTCCAAAGAAGAATGATCAGATAAACTTTTTACATTATAATGGTTTTATGTTAACAGTTTCTTTGGGGGGCAGGGGGAAGCATCTTGGAATTAATAAACTCATCTCCTACAAAGCCTGTGGTACCTGGGGATCCACGAGAGAAAGAGGGGAAGATACTGCTCTGAAGAAGTGGTTGTTTCTGAAAGGGCAGTGCTGAGATGAAGTGTAATAAGATGCTTCTGACAGGAGGCCATGAGGGAACTCTCTCATGTGCACACATGCACACATGCTCCAAGATACATTTTTTTATATATATATATAAATACACACACACACACATGTACGCAAAAAATACATTTGTTGGAAAAAAATGTCCTCTTTCTTCCATCTTGGAATCCATAGGATTTGATGGAAGGATGAAAGTACTTATGTGCAAATGACCTTCAAGAAATTTTTTTCTTTTCTGATTTCTAATGCTGTAAGACAGTAAAAAACAAACACCCCACCCCCTCCCCAAACCCCATATTTTTTTCCATCTATTTGAAACCTCTGGCTGGCAGGGCTAGCTTACTTGTATATCAGTAGCAATGCCAGTGGCTGCATGTTTTAAGCTTGATCCATTCCAGGACACCTGAATGTTGCTCTCCTTAGGTCAAACTTAAAGAAATAAGTGAAAGCATTTCTTCCTACACGGCAGCCTCATGCCTGTTGCATCCCATGGTGGGCACAAGTGTGCTGACACTTAAACTCCAAAAGCTTTTTCTTCCAGCTGGATGTCTATCATGACAGTCAGGAGGAGCTAGAAATTATCTCTGAAGACTAAAGCAACTAACGAAGGCAAGCATGGCTGGATCAGCCCCTTGCACTGGTGCACACTGGACTCTGGCTTGAAGGACTGCAAGGGAGCACCCAACTTGAGGAGTCTGTTTTTGCTGTCTTATAACTGCTCATGAATAACCCCAAACATAAACAACTGGTTTTTTTCCTTACAAGCAGCTTTGTCTTGGGAGAAGAGGAGGGGAGCCAGTGCAGCCCCTCTGTGCTGGTAGCCGAGGGCTTTATTGCTCGAGTCTGTTCACAGCCAGCTTGTGGCCATTTCTCCATGTGGCGGTCTCTCATTTAGCTCAAATGATTTTCTGTCTGGCCTGATGCTTGCCCCTGTGGAAAGCAGCTGTATTACCTCTCAGCTTTCGTTTGCTAGGATAAACAAGCCAAAAATGGGCACCCGACTTGCTTGACACTTCCCAGTGATGCTTCCCAGCTGGTGCAGCAATGGAGCTGGATCCGAGTTGCGGGGGTCTGCGCACCCATCTGCCTGTCTGGTCTTCTGCAAAAGCCTTCCGATCCATTAGGCTTTCTCCAAATGACTTTCTCTGCATTTGGTATATGAATGTCCCATTCATATGTGTGTGTCCAAGCCCCAGTGGTGACTTGGGGACGTTCCCTCCTGCTGGCCCCGTCCATGGCAGTGAGCCTGGCCAGGGCGTTGCGGCTGGTGCCTCCCCTGCAGCACCAGGGGCTGCAGCATCAAGCTCCTGGTTACTCTGGTTGGGCAGGTGAATATCTTAGCAGGAAAAGAAAATACCAGTAGGAACTGGTCATGATGTTTTCCACTTGCTCTTGCCTCTGATTTCTACCTCTTAGCCATGCAAAATCTGCCAGAAGTTAAGAATTATGCCCACCTTGTGAAGGTCTCAAAATCGAAGATGTCATTTGTTTCAGATTATCAGTCGGCTCTGGGAGCTACAGAGAAATCTGTCGCTGTCTTGTATAACCCTGTCCAAGCAATACTTTCTCCACTGTGTGAAATAACTCAGTGAATTTCTAATTACACAAATCTAATTAAAGGCTGAATGTAATGACTATGCCTAATCATAATGATACACCCATTTCATTAAAAAAAAGAAATTGCTTGTGTACAACAAACCACCCAATTTAGTACAGAATTAATATCCGCCTCTCCGGCTGGAGCTGTGCAAGCACTGGCTCGCGTGGGCATCCCCGGGAGGTCCACACGGCCAAGCTGAGTCTCGTGTGGCTGCGTTTGAAGCTCTGGCTCTTTTGTAAGTAAAGTCTCAAGAGGTGTCTGTGTAAGATGAGGGTGAGAAAGGACCCTCCCACTGGCCAGAGCTTTGAGGGACTATGGTCTGTGCACCATGACCAAGCATCCAGGCAGCCACTGAACTGGGATTTAGTGGATTTTGTGTCTGAAGCTCAGCAGTGGTAGAGCAGCAGAGGCGCCTTTACTGCATTTTCACGTCAGCTCTGCTTGATGATCTGGTCTGCTCTCAGAGACCAAAGTAGCACAAAAAATTATTTATCACCCATTGGAGATCTTTTTCTGTGGTTTTCAGTGTGCTGCACCAATGCCTGGAACAGATGGCACGCCTCTGACGAAAGCCTGTTTTGTAAAACTTCTCGGATCCCCTTTTCCCGCAAGGTGCCTCTGCCATCAGCAGCAAGGTAAAAGCGCATAACCACTGCAGCAGGCAGAAAACTAACACCAGCCGTGCTGTCCAGGTGCCAGGCAGCTTGTCAGGCCTCTGCTAACTGATGCACTGGGCTGTTGATTCTTCCTTTCAGCTCTAATGCAGTGCCCGCTTTTATAAGAGCTCCAGCAACATTCCTGTCAGAAGGAGACAGTTTCTTACAGCAAGACACCAACCTTAATCCATGCAACTGAGTGCGAGTTGCAGAAGGAACAGCTGCACTTATAGGTCTGGAGTTTTCTATTAATATTTTTGCAGTAGTTTATTGCTGAAATGACTCTTGCAAAAGCAACTGTGGCTTTATCCTTTCCTTACCCTGGTGAATGCAGCGGGAAGTTTGTCCTGCAGCATGGAGACTGTGCCCAAATTTCTGGCAGGCCTGAAAGAATTCAGATATCAGAGGGGGAGCCAAATATGGGACAGAGGGAATAATATCAGGGCAGTGAGGTTAAATAGATAGATAATTGATTTTTTTTTCAGTGCTGGTCTCGGGTGTAAATCCATTGAGGTTAATGAAGTAAGGCAAATTGAATTGAACAGCCCTGTATGGAAAGCTTAGCCTGGCATTTAGCCAGTTTCAGAGGCTGCTCTTGGTGCTCCCGTGGTGTTTTTGATGACTGCATTTTGGTGTCAGCATTTTGCTCATTTACGCTGTCTGAGAAGAGCCAAACTCTCACAGCTGCAACCATTTTAACTTAAAACCAAGAAAGCAAACCTCCCATCCTGTTTCTTTACTTAAATACTTGGATACTTGTGTTTGCTGGGGTTTCTGATCTACCTGCAGTTATTTGGTGGAGCTTGCTCAGGTGGTATTGCAAAGCCCACGGGCTGAGGCTGCACAGCCCTGAGCTCGGTGTATCTCAGCCCTGCATTTCTGCAGTTCCTTAGGAAGCCTTCCACAGTGTTGCTGTAAGCAGTATCTTTTGGATGAGGTGTCAAATATTTGTCACAGAAGCACTCGTGGCACTTTGGCAAGTGTTAGCTCTGGAATCCAAATTAAATTCTGATACGGATCACTGTATCCTGCCAGCCCTCCCCTGAGTTGAACCGGTGGGGGGTGTTTGACTTCCCAGCCTGAGCAGGTGGGATGTGGATGTGTGCCGATGGCAGCTGCACAGCTCAGGTGGGACAGGAGGAGAAGGGAGGCCAGGCAGCCTCTGGATTAACTAGCCCATCAGGATTTGGGTGGGAGGTGATACATGGGTGGGTACAAAGTGGGTTTGCTAGAAATGGAGGATCCAGCCATAACTTTGGGGGCAGAGGAGATGCTCTCCCTGCCAGAAGGGCTGATGCCTGAGCTCACGGGTGCTGGGATCGTGTTGTGCCATGCCTCTTGCTCCAGGCAGGGAGGGAGCCCAGCCCTGGGAGCTGGCACGCTGGCACTGACATGAGCTGTGACCTCTTGGGCCAGAGCTCTCTTGGACCCCTACTCTTGCACACCTTGCATCCCGTCTGGGCACCGCCCCAGCAGGACCTGCCTCCCCATGTGCTCTAACACCCACAGCATTCTACAGAGGACGCTTCTCTGCAGAGATACAAAGTGCTGGCTGTGCCTGCGTTCCCAACAGAGGTGGCCCAAGGGAAGGGGTTGACCCGATGTCTTCTCAGGCCATAGAGATGCTTCACTGGTTTCCCTCCTGCTGGCCTCAAAGCTTGTGGGAAGGACATGTGTTTCATTACAGAAATGGGTCTGAGGGTTCAGTCACCAGCAGAAGGTCGCTTGTTCTTTGCATCAGTTATGCCTGGCCGTTGTTAAATCATAAGTGTCTGTCATGGGAAACAGTTCATACCCTGTCGATCCCCCAGCTGTTGATGCATTGCTCTGTACAGCTAATTCAGCAGGACCCTTTGCTGCTCGTGGCCGGACTTCTGATAGCTTCTTGGGTCCCCTTATCTCAGGGTTTGCTTTTCTGAACGATGCCGACAGTAAGCAGGATGTCTTGTCTTCCCTGCTGCCCCCCAGCTGCTGCCTCCTGACACCCGCCAGGCTCTGGCGCAGAACTGTTTAACCTTGGTAAATGAAACTTTGCAGGTGTTACTGGAGAAAAGGACTCTGCCAAGCAGCTCTCCCTTGGGTCTCATCCGTACTTCTGTTCTCAGGCTTTCCTTGTGATTGCCCAGACTCCTCTAAGAGCAAGACAGGAGCAAAATCAGGCTGGGAACACCCTAATCTTATCATGGCCTTTTGCAACACTTTTTCTCAGGCTTGGAGATCTTCGGGAAGAACAGAAAAAGAAAGCTTTACAGACAACAACCTCCATCCCAGTTTAACTTCAGGAAGGTCAGCCCTGCTACCCCTGACTTGCACTGGGGTGCACTGGTATACTGGTATACACTGTTAGATGTGCAGCAGCTGCTGCAGAGAAATCAGTCAGTGAGAGATGCTGTCCCAAATGCAGCAAAATATTCCTTCAGGCATATTTGTGTCTTCCTGCCCTTTTGTAGTGAAGGATTTCTGGTGAAGACAAAATTCACGTGGCAGGTAAGGCACCTGCATGGGGCAAGGCTAATATCCAAATGGCCTTGCTGTTCCCTTTGCCCAGGTCTTGGGGGACACTTCATTCCTGTGCGGCCAATGCTTGCATCTTATCAACCATGGGCTGTCTGCAGGCTGGTTGAGCTACCTGGGACATGGCTATTTCAGAGTGGTCTCAAGGACCGTCCTGCCCTTTAGGACTGCCACCTGCCAGCCATGCCACCTTGAAGTGGTATCCTGCTGCTTTTGGCAATGGAGCTTTTCCCTGGAGAGAGCTCATCAGCTTGGGCTGATGAAGAACCAAAAGCCATCTGCAGCAGACACCCAGGTCTGGTGCAGGGCAGGACCCCCAAGGAAGGTGCAGTGGGGGAGTACTTTGGGAAGCACAGAGCAGCCCAGTCCTGCACCAGGCATAGGACATCTCCCACCCAACTCAAGCTGCTTATAGAGCCTCTGGGAGAGATTTTCATCTTGGATCCCACAAACTCTGGACAGGTTAGAGCATGGACCCTGATGAGGCTTGGATCCTGAGCTCCTTATTGTGGTGGCAAGGGGGAGAGCCTTTACCAGAGCAGTGATTTCCATCTCTTGCCGTTTCCCTCTATTCCTGCATGTTACCCTGCTTTGTGCAGCAGCTAAAAATAATTGAAAGAAAGGTGTGAGCCTGCACCAAGGGAAGGGGAGAGGGAACCCCTGTGTCTGCATGAGAAATTGGACTCCTACAGCTGACAGGAGCCTGTCCGTCACACAGGCAGCATATGTGCAGAGGTTTCAGTCTCTCTTGCTGGATACTCAGTGGCTACATAAACAAACAGGCTCTGTTTTTGTCTTTGGTCATTCTACCAATGCCTCTTGCTAGCCTTGACTTTTTGGCTTGTCTCTCTATTTTTAGCTGCAGGACACCCTGTCCCCAAACCCGGAGAGGACCTGGGTTTTCTCATACCTCTCTAAATGCATGAAGCCAGCTCTCGCCCTTCTCCGTGTCCCGATTTAGAGAAGGGGCGAGCAGCAGTGCAGTTTCTTCCCACTCACACCGGTGTAGCTAAGCTGAGGACCTGAGCTATGAATATCTGTTTGCCCAGGAGTTTATTGATGATTCTGCTGAATAAGAGTCTTTGAGGAAGGATGGGGAAGGATGTCTGCTCTGTGAGATGCAGCTATGTAAGTGTAGAGGAGCCCTTGTGTGCAGACCAGCTCCATGCTTACAAAGCAGGACCCTGCGGATGCTGAGGGTCAGGTATAGAGTGAAAGTGTTTGGTGCAGGGGCTTCTGCCCTGCACCCCGTCTCCATCAGCACAGCTGGTGGTAGCACACTTCTGGGCATCTGTAGGTCTGCACGGAGCAGGAACCGCAGTGTGTGTGCTTGTCCAGGACTGCACGTGCAGGTGCCGGTTGCATGAGAAGTCCGATACCCTCGGGCTGTGGCAGGTTCAGCGTGGTGTGAACCAGTCTTCTCCCTTGAGTCTAGAACTGAGAGGGCCCAGCATGTTTCCCTTCTGTTCTTTATCTTATTCATATATAAAAAAAGTGGAGGAAAAACCCCACACTTCACATCCAGCAAAATGCAGTATTTCTTTGTATTTTACTGAGAGAAGGACAAGTTTGGGAGTTTATTCTTTTATTTAAAAGTATAAAATGATTTAGTACAATGCAAAATTAAATGTCACTTTGAATAAACGATCAAATGGTCTTCCATTTGGCAAGTGCTGAAATGAGCATGTCTTTTATTGTGCAGTAGTTTCGGTCATGCCAAATCAACCTTTACATCCTTTTCCACTCATGCAGGAGAATCCACCTTTTCAGCAAGCCGAGCCCTTGCATTTACCTAGTCCTGCTTTCAGAGTCCCCTGCCCCGTCTGAGCATCTCTACTCTGGTCCTCATCACCGGCTTCACAGGGCTGCAGGCTCAGCTCCTTGCCATCCTCTTTGCTCCCTCTTCCTGTGCTGAAGTCCTCACTCAGACGCTCGCTTAGGCATGGACTTCAATTTAAGCGTCTGAATGGCTCCCTTGATGTAATTAAGGCTATTTGTGTGCTTGGAGTTAAGTACGTGCTGAAGCACTTTGCTGGATGGAGGCATAAAAGCGCACGAGCTTCAACCGAGCAGCAAAATAGGTTTTATAAGGCACTGGGGGCTGCCAGTCCCGCTCCTCGTCCTGGTGGCTACTAGTGTAAGATGACCCGGGAACTGTGACAGCTTCCTGCCCTCCGCTGTTGCAGACTAAATGTCCTGAGGTCTGTTGTTTGCGCTGCACTGACGTGTGTCCCTGTGAGATTGTATGACCACCTTGTCCCCTGGGAGAGCTACTCAAGGTCACAGGATCCTTTCCGATGACTAGCAAGCCTGCAACGCCTGTACTCGTAATGTGCTACGGAGGTGCTGTTTTGGCCTGTCGAGGTGTCCCAAGGCAGGTGGGGTATGGGGGTGCTGGGAGCGAGTCCCAGCCAGGGCTGGTGCCCCTGCATCCCCATCCCCACATCATGGGTGCCATTGTGGGA